GGCCACCCCTTGTCTCCCCTGTGTGGGGATGGGATCCCCGCGGGGGTTGGGGGCTGCAGGAGGAGCCGCCCTCACCCCGTGTCTCTCGGGACAGGCAAGGACTACGAGGGTTACGTCCCGCTGTGGTTCGAGCGCAGGGTGGACGCGCTGACCGGGGAGCTCATCTGCGTCTACAAGGGCGGCTACTGGGAGGCCAAGGAGAAGCAGGACTGGAGCACGTGCCCCGACATCTTCTGAACCCCCCCTGGCACCAGGGGGACCCCCCAGGGACAAGCGGGGACACCCCAGCAGCCGAGGGTGCAAAACCCACCCAGGCAGCACCTGCAGGAGCCCGGGAAGCAGCTCAGAACAGGGATCCCAAACCTATTTTTTTACGCACTAACAAACAGTTTTGGTTTGGTTTCATTGGTTTATTTTTTGTCTCCAAACGGTGGCTCCTCCCGCGGGGAGCGAGGCCCCGAGCCTGGGATTTCTCTTGCTGTCAGGATTTGCTGCCTGAACCTCTCAGCACCTCAGCTTTACCACCTGAGATGTCAACTTCCAAAGATGCGGGTGTTGTGGGGATGCCGTGTGCTTCTCTCAGCTCTAATTCTTTCACATTTTCTTTTTCCCCCCCATTTGTGTGAGGACGTTATGAAATGACTTGTTTTTTTAAAACCCAAACAACCCGATCTGCTCCTGGTTCAGGTTCCTTCAAAGATGGACACGAACACCCCTGCGTCCTGCTCAGAGAACTCTCCAGGGGCCATGGCACTTCACCCTGGAGCCTCTTGGTGGTTCCTGCAGTGCCCAGTCATCCCAGTAACACCAATTAGGATATTTCAGCTGGTGAACTTGTTCCTTTTTTTTTTTAGTCTTCTTTTTTTCTTTTTCCCAAAGAAGCGTTAGAGCAGGATCCCCTCAGCCTGCTGTGCCCAGTCAAGGCCTAGGACTGATGTGTTGTGAGAGTGATTTGAGCAAGGTTTGGTTTGGTTTTCCTGCAACCCCATCTGAAGGGGGACACGGCCCAGCCAAGGTCAGAACACCTGGCAGGGGCAGAGCCAAGAGGTTTGGAGACCAGCAGTGCTCCAGGCTCCACATACCAACTGTCTCCCCCTCCATCCCACTGCTGGCAGGAGCCTGGAGCTTGGTCCTGCTGGGATGGAGCCTCCCTGGATGCAGCCTTGCTCCTGGCTCTCCCATCCATGTGTCTTCCCTACTGGATCAGACAGGTCTGGTCCTCAGACCCGAGGGGTCACAGGCTGAGCTGGGGGCAGCTGCAGCCCAGCTCTGCTGCTTCTCCCTCGTGGCTGGTTTCCCCCAGGAGCAGGTTCAGCCTGAGCACGGGGCTGGAGCAGCCCCCCACTCACCCCTCCTGGGTGCCAGTTCCTTGCTGCAGCCCTGGGCCCACCAGAGGAGCAGAGCAAGTCCTGCCCGTGGTCAGCAAGGAGCAGGGCTGGGCCACTGGACACACCGGCAAGTACCGCCAGCCCCAGCACCCAAGGGGAGGAGCAGAGTAACCCCAGAGATGGGATCTGCTGAGCCAGAGAGCATCAGGGAGACCTGGACACGTGTGTTTGCCCTGTCAGATCTCATCTTTGATGTCTTCTTCTGCAAGTCTTCATCATATCACACAGGCTGCTGCCTGGGGCCAGAGGCCACCGCTCACCAGACCCTCCCACCCACATCAGAAGATATTTAGCAATAATGAACTTGGAGGCAATGGGAACTGGAATACCCAGGCTGCACATGGGACACTTATGCCATCAGGTTCCTTAACCATTTGTCTTCTCCTGGCTGGCTTCTCTTCCAGCACCTCCAGACCTGCTCTTCACAGCAAACCCACGTGTACAGAATATAGACCTTGTATGGGAACAGTAGTGAGTGGCTCTTGGAGTGGCAGCACCCACTGATTCCAATGTACCCTGTCATCTTATTTTTTTGCTTCTAATTTATATATATATATAATATATATATAAAATTATTTTGCTTAAATTTCTATGGTACACAATAGATGAAAAATAATGAAGACAGAAGTGTCTGGAGTTTTTGTAGCACAAGCAGGATCTCCCTGGGCTTGTCGCAGAGACAGGGGGTAGGGGTGGTGGTGATGGAGTCATTCCCAGAGGAGAGAAGCAACATCTTGCTCCCAAGCTGGCTGGGGTTGCATTCAGGAGGTGCTAGAAAGACATCCCCTTCTAGAAACAAAGTGGTTGGGGTTTGAGGGGCAGCACTTGGTGTCCCCTGTGGTTGGGAGGAAGGTGCTCCCAGCTGCTTCCCACCCCTCGGGGTGTTCCAGTCTGACCTGTTGGCTCCTCCCAGACCATTCCGAGCTGTTTGCCTGTAGCTCAGTAAAGCTGCTGCAGCTCTTGATGATTCAAACTTCAGTCCTAGAGGTTGGTTGCAGCCTGCAGGGAGCTGCTGGGTGTCCCAGCCCCAGGGCATGGAGATCTGTCCCCTCCCTGGGAGAGCAGAGGAGGCTCTGCACTAACTCACCTTGGTTTGGGGTGGCAGCCAGAGCTGCCCAGGGGGAGGTTGTTCCACTCGAGTTGGTTTTGTAAAATGGAGTAGAAATGGAGCTCTTCCAAATGCCTTATTTTCCCTGTTGGCTTTGTCAATGCAAGTGTTGGCCAAGAGCTTGGAGAGGTGAGGAGCTCCTGCCTGGGCTGTTCCCAAAGCAGGATCCCAGCTTTCTCACAGCAAGGGGGGAACAGCTCAGGAATTCTGACAGTCCTGCTGGGCTTTAGGGCCTTGGGAAGTCCTCTCTGATCCACCCCCCATTGCTGCATCTGCCTAGAAATCACCATCACAGACCCTGCTCAGCTTAGTGGAGCTGGGGGGAGCATGAGGAGCACCCCCCAAAACAAATCTTCTGGTTTTTAGGCTGATTTTAAAAATGACTCTGTCCTCCAGAGGTCATCTAGCAGCAGCACTTAACCAGAGCACCATCTCCTGGTCTGTCTGTTCCACTCCCAGAGGATTTTAATGTCATTCCACTGTAAATGCTGTTGAATGTATTTCTTTTGGAACAATATATTGTGAGTGATTCCTCTTCTCCTACACAGTAATAAAACTTGGATTCGGGAGTTTTAAAAGCTGCAGTGCTGAGGTTGTCACTTGCTCCTCAGGGCTGCAGGTGGGGGGTCCTGGGGGCACCCCAGGATAGGTCAGCTCTAGGCATGCACAGGGGCCTGGACACGAGGGGGATGTCAGGTGAGGTGGCCAGGGAAAGGACCACAGAGAGGTGGCTGAGGGAGGAGATGGGGAGATTGTCTGAAGGAGGAGGCTGCCCAGAGTAGGAGAACTGTACAGGAGGTGGCTGAGAGGAGAAGGAGGTCCAGAGAAGGTGGAGGGTCTTGGGGAAGGTTGCCCAGAGGAGGAGATTGTCCAGCAGAGGTTGTCCAAGGCAGGAGGTGGCCAAGGGACAAAGTCCAGGAAAGCAGGGATGGGAGGGGTGGTCCAGACATAGGTATCCATGGGAGGAGGTTCTCCTGGGGGAGAGAGCTCAGAGAAGAACCAGGGAAGGGGCTGCCCAGGGAGGGAGGAGACCTAGGGCAGGATATCATCTGGGGAGATGTCCCTGTGGAGGTTGTCCAAGAGAGAAGATTGTTGTCCGGGGAAGGAATAACAGGAGAGGTGGCCCAGGGAGGGTGTTTTTCTGGGGGATGGTGGGAAGGAGATGGTGGCCGTGGGGACACTGGGGCAGGAGGTGGCCAAGGAGGCCTCGGTGGCCCAGGAGAAGAGGCCCAGGGGAGGTGGAGGAGGTTCTGGGCAGGGTCTGTGGAGATGGGAGGGGAAGATAGGACAGGCTGAGACTGACTGGACACTGTTGTGTTGCCAGGTGACAGACACACACAACTCAGCCTCCCTGCCTGCCCCAGCCCAGCTTGGCCAGGTGAGCAGGGGTCAGGGTGGGGGGTCAGCCCGTGCTGTGGTGCAGGCAGCAGGGGTCCAGGGCAGCTCCTGGGTAGGAGTGTGCTGGTGTCTGGGCTTCGATGGAAGCCAAACATCCATGCCCTGCAGATCCACCTGGCCCCCCTGTGGTGTGGCCCTCAGCCCCGGGCGGTGGGTGGGCTGGGCCGTGTCGCTCTTGCTGTGTTCACTCTGAAGCCTAATGGGGGCTGGAAGAACACTGTGCCAGCTGTCCCCAGGGTGCCACCAGCCCTGTGCCACGGGAGGAGCACTGCCAGGGGATGGCTCAGCTCTTCAGCTCCCAGCCCAGCGCGGGGAACAGGAGCAGCTCCAGCTCTATCTGCACCGAAGACTTTGCTGACAGGTTTTGGGAGACCATGGTGGAGCCCCAGCTGTTCTCCAAGGAGGAGGAAGATGAGCCTTTTGGGTATGTCCCTGCTGAGGGAGATGATCTTGGGCAGGATGAATCCTTGATCCCTACAGGGAGAAGCTGGGACACCCATGGACATCTGGCAGTGGGGATGGGCAGACGTCCCTCGCAGAGCAGGTCTCCACCTCTGGTGAGGAGGGAGAGCCTGGAGTCCCTGGGAGGAAGGATCTCCAGACTGAGCCAGAGCAAGGGTTTGGGGGTGGCCTGGGGGGCTCCCTGGCCACCACCCTCCCCTCAGCGGGCTCTGGGCTGGGGGGACTGGCCACATGGTGGTCCATGCTCTCGGGAAGACCCAGTGACCATCACCTTGCGCAGTGAAGAACCAGGTGCTGCCTGTCCCCGGGGAGCCCTGGGCACCTCTGCCAGCAGCAGCAGGGCCAGGGCAGGGAGAGGCTCTGCCAGCAGCAGCACCAGGACCCGGGGGACAGACCCAGCGGGGGAAGGGGCATGGCAGGGACCAGCTCCAGCTGCTCCTGGGGTCTGTCTGGGGGGGGTGGGCTCCTCTCCCCAAGTGCCACTTGTTTCCTGCAGGTACCACCAGGGCTGTGGGACCTCCTGGGCGAGGGGGAGCAGCCGTGTCGCCCTGCCCAGGGGGACCAGACCTGTCACCCTGCCCAGGGGGACCAGACGTGTCACCCTGCCCAGGGAGACCAGACCTGTCACCCTGCTCAGGGGGAGCAGCCGTGTCACCCTGCTCAGGGGGAGCAGCCGTGTCACCCTGCCCAGGGGGACCAGACGTGTCACCCTGCCCAGGGAGACCAGACCTGTCACCCTGCCCAGGGGGACCAGACGTGTCACCCTGCCCAGGGAGACCAGACCTGTCACCCTGCCCAGGGGGAGCAGCCAGGTCCTGCTGGCAGCCTGGGGAGCAGGAAGCTGAGCTGCCCTGCCAGGTGTGTCCTGGGGTGCAGCAGGG